TTTAAAAATTCAAAATTTACTCAAAAGTTGCAGTGCTGATAAAACCTAAAAGGACAAAAAGTATAGCCTAAAGTTTACGTTTTTCAGTTTTGTCATGTTTTATATGTACAGTATGGTGTAAACTTCCCTCTAAAACCATACGCCATTACACCATTCACCATACACCATTACACCATTACACCATACACCCTGTGCCATACACCATACACGTTACACCTTTGCACCATAAACCTTACACACTACACCATAATGCAATTTAATTTCAAAGAAAGCGTGCGACTGCACAATTATTTATTTATTTTAAAAAACGAATTTTGATCACAATATTGTTAATTAATGTAAAAAATTAAAAATCAGTTTTTATCAATATTTTGCATAGTTTTAAATGTCGTACACCATTCATTCACACCATTCCCGATCGCACGTTACACCATTACACCATTCCCCTTACACCATACACCATAGCACCATACACCTTCTACCATTGCACCATATACCATACACCATTACTCCATACACGTTTTTTTGGGGAAGTTTACACCATCCAAGGGCTATACTAGTTCTTGCTAACTTGAAAAGAAAATAATGATCGTTACTTATTTCTAAAGTTGTTCGATTGGTGATTCTTACAGTCTCAAAATATGGTTTGATTAAAACATTTACAAGTGGATCTACTTTTTTTATAAAGATCACATTTTTTTTACTCAACTCATAATAGATACCAGGCTTAAAACTTTGTACACAAGACGCGCGTTTCGTCTACAAAAGACTCGTCAGTAACGATCAAAACAAGACAGTTAAAAAGACCAAAACAAGTTTGAAGAACATTAATGACCCAAAAATCCGAAAGGTTTTGCAAAATACAGCTAAGGTAATAGATATTTTGTGTAAAAAATCCTTAGTATTTCCAAAAATTCAAAATTTGTAAACAGTTAAACAGTTGATTTATGATTATGAAAAGATACCTGAAAATATAATTAACAGTAATTAGAAAAAAAAACAGTCCCTTTCACCATTAAAAATTGTTTTTTTAGAGATTCATAGTTAGAGAGTAGTTTGGAAAATGTGTGTTTTTGTTCTTTGAAGTAGCTCGAACAATTGTGATCTTCTTTGTTGAATACATTCATGACGTCGCATAGTTTAGTTTTAAAAAATGTCTTACTGTCGAGGGGACTTATATCCGTATTCTTTCCTTGTTTGTGTGTGTGTTTTTACTACTACTACTACTACTACGACTATTTCTACTACGACTACGATAACGACGACTACTACTAATACAACTAAGACTACTACGACGACTACTACGACTACTACATCTACGATTACTACTACTACTACTTCTACTACTACGACTACTACAACTACGACACCGACTACTACTACTACTACTACTAATACTACTACTACTACTACGACGACGACGACTACGACTATTACTACGACTACTAATACTTCTACATCTACTACTACTACAACTATTACGACTACTACGACAACGACTACGCTTACTACGACTACTACTATTACGAGTACTACTATACGACTACTACTGCTATTACGACTATTACGACAACTACTACGGCTATTACTACGACTACTACTATTACGACTACTACTATACGACGACTACTACTATTACGACTATGACGACTACTACTACGACTACTACTATTACGACTACTACTATACGACGACTACTACTATTACGACTATTACTATACGACTACTACTGCTATAACGACTATTACGACAACAACTAATTCAACTACTACTACTACAACTATTACGACTACTACTATTACGACTACTACTATACGACTACGACTATTACGACTACTACTACGACTATATTATTACGACTACTACTGCTATTACAACTATTACGACAACTACTACTACTACTACGACTATTACGACTACTACTAATACTACCATTACGACTACTTCTATACGACTTCTACTGCTATTACGACTTTTACGACTACTACTACAACTACTACTATTACAACTTCTTCTACACAACTACTACTGCTATCACGACTTATACGACATCTACTACTACTACTACTACGACTATTACGACTACTACTACTACAACGACTCTTACGACGACTACTACTAATACAACTTATACTATTACGACGACTACTACTACTACGATTACTACTACTACTACCACTACTACTACTACGACACCGACGACTACTACTACTTCTACTACTACTACTACTACGACGACTACGACTATTACTACGACTACTAATACTTCTACGACTACTACTACTTCAACTACTTCAACTACTACTACTACTACTGCTATTACGACTATTAAGACAACTACTACGACTATTACTACGACTACTACTATTACGACTACTACTATACGACTACTACTGCTATTACGACTATTACGACAACTACTACGACTATTACTACGACTACTACTATTACGACTACTACTATACGACTGCTACTACTATTACGACTATGACGACTTTTACTACGACTACTAATACTTCTACATCTACTACTATTACAACTATTACGACTACTACGACAACGACTACGCTTACTACGACTACTACTATTACGAGTACTACTATACGACTACTACTGCTACAACGACTATTACGACAACTACTACGACTATTACTACGACTACTACTATTACGACTACTACTATACGACTACTACTACTATTACGACTATGACGACTACTACTACGACTACTACTATTACGACTACTACTATACGACGACTACTACTATTACGACTATTACTATACGACTACTACTGCTATAACGACTATTACGACAACTACTAATTCAACTACTACTACTACAACTATTACGACTACTACTATAACGACTACTACTATACGACTACGACTATTACGACTACTACTACGACTATATTATTACGACTACTACTACTGCGACTACTACTACGACTACTACTGCTATGACAACTATTACGACAACTACTACGACAACAACTACTACTACGACTTCTACTATTACGACTACTACTATACGACTACTACTATTACGACTTCTACTACGACTATATTATTACGACTACTACTACTACGACTACTACTGCTATTACAACTATTACGACAACTACTTCTACTACTACGACTATAACGACTACTACTACTACTACTACCATTACGACTACTTCTATACGACTTCTACTGCTATTACGACTATTACGACTACTACTACGACTACTACTATTACAACTTCTTCTACACAACTACTACTGCTATCACGTCTAATACGACACCTACTACTACTACTACTACGACTATTACGACTACTACTACTACAACGACTATTACGACGACTACTACTAATACAACTTATACTACAACGACTACTACTACTACGATTACTACTACTACTACCACTACTACTACTACTACTACGACACCGACGACTACTACTACTACTACTACTACGACGACGACGACGACTACGACTATTACTACGACTACTAATACTTCTACGACTACTATTACTTCAACTACTACGACTACTACGACAACTACTACGACTACTACTATTACGAGTACTGCTATACGACTACTACTGCTATTACGACTATTAAGACAACTTTTACGACTATTACTACGACTACTACTATTACGACTACTACTATACGACTATTACTGCTATTACGACTATTACGACTACTACTACGACTACTACTATTACGACTACTACTATACGACTATTACTGCTATTACGACTATTACGACTACTACTACGACTACTACTATTACGACTACTACAAGACGACTACTACTATTACGACTACTACAAGACGACTACGACTATTACGACTACTACTACGACTATATTATTACGACTACTACTACTAAGACTACTACTACGACTACTACTATTACGACTTTTACTATACGACTACTGCTGCTATAACAACTATTACGACAACTACTACGACAACTACTACTACTACTACTACTACGACTACTACTATTACGACTTTTACTATACGACTACTACTGCTATAACAACTATTACGACAACTACTACGACAACTACTACTACTACTACTACTACGACTATTACGACTACTACTACTACTACTACTACTACTACTACTACTACTATTACGACTACTACTATACGACTTCTACAGATATTACGACTATTACGACTACTACTACGACTACTACTATACGACTACTACTGCTATCACGACTATTACGACAACTACTACTATTACTACTACTATTACGACTACTACTACTACTACTACTACTACGCCTATTACAACTACAATTACTACTACAACTACTACAACTACTCTACGACTACTACGACTATTACTCGACGACTACTACTATTACTATTACGACTGCTAGTACTACTACTACTACTACTAATAATAATAATAATACTACCACTACTACGAATACTACGACTACTACTATTACGACTACTACTACTACTAGTACGACTACTACGACTATCACTACGACTACTACTACTACGACTATTACTACTATTTCGACGACTAATACTATTACGACTTCTATTACTACGACTACTACTACTACGACTACAACGACTACTACTACTACTTCTACGACGACGACTACGACGACTACTACTACTACTACTACTACTACTACTACTACTACTACTACTACTACTACTACTAATACTACTACTACTACTACTACTACTTTTACTGCTACGACTACGACTACGACTACGACTACTACGAATGATAATAATAACTGTTCATTGGCACCTGACTTCATCCCCATAGTTATACAGGGCTTGTCTTGCTTAATGTCAAGTTTTCTGTATAGTGTTTCAGGAATTGTGGTTTGGCTTTTTTTCATATTTCTCATTGGTTATGATGATGTCTGTTTTGGGAGCGACGAATTTTTTTGAAACATTCGTTTTGTATCCTCCTAGTTTTTTTTTACATACACAGAAAGAAAACACAAAAACACAAGGACATAAAAGTTAATAAATAGCATATTAGTTTATTAAACAAATCATCCCAATAAGAACAAATTATAATCATTAGTAAAATTTTCAAAAATTGATCACAGTTAGAATGAGTTGATAAAACAATGAATAACAGAAATATTGATATATTATATGTTAAAAGTGTAACTATTAATCAAATAAAATTATCACACAATCAATATGATAAACATGAATTATAGTTATATCATTCATTTACTGAAATATATCAGTGATCCTCCAGCTTTTCGTTTTGTAAATGTGGTCATTGACTGCTTTACAAAATTATAGAATCTTCCGGTCCAATTTTAAAAACTGTATTCCTTTCTCGATCAATTTCGTATTTCCTGAAATAAAGGTCATATATAATACAAGCTTCCAGATACAATGGAATTAATTAGTGTTTCAATTTTAAACCGGGATTAAGAAAGAGAGCCGAAAAATACCAAAGGAATAACCAAACTCATAACTCGAAAACAAACTGGCTATGGATGGCAAAAAAAAAACGACTAAAAGACAAACAATAGTTTACAAACCACAATATCGAAACCCATAAAAAAAATCGGGGTGGTCTCATGTGCTGCGGAAGGGTAAGCAGATCCTGCTCCATATATGGCACTGTCGTGTTTCTTCTGTACAAATCTATATGTAGTATTGAAGAGCGTATCAATATAAAAATAGTAGATTAAGTGATGAATGTTTGTAATGTTCTGGATTATGGACTTAAACATTTAACTTATTATTGTATTCTTATGTAAAATGCTACAACTATAACAATAAAATATATATGTAAAATTAATAACAGATTCAGAAATAATTGAATTAAAACAAAGACTATCAAGGATCTGAGTCCAACGTCAACGGTACACACGACATATGTCGCAATTACAGTAGGAACTTGTTTTCTTCGAAAACAAAACTGCATTCCCGGATATTTTGGTAGGGTTCATAATACTCATTCTCAAATGTTCTGTGTAGTGTTTTGTAGACTGTTGTTTTGTCTTTTCACCGTTTTTTTTATCACGGTGTCGTTTGTTTCTATTCCACTTATTTTTTGTTTATTGTCCAACCCCATTCCCTTTGGTATTTTCTCCCTCTTAAACACCAAGATGCCAAAATAAACATGGAGAATAAAATATTATTCATGCATAGTTGAACTGTTTTAGAAAATAGTACAACATGTTAAGTCCCTTTTGTATATTCCAAATTGTGTCCGTCTTGTAGCAAATGCTTCGGTTCTAATGATACATTTGTTACTTACTCAGAATAAGCTGACTTTTGCGTTTTCATACAAAGGTTATTTTTGTCTTTGCTGATTTTGTATTTGATTAGCCTTCAAAACGTCACTTTTCACTTTCTTTGTGTAGGGTTTTCGTGTTCACTGCTATCTGCACTATATGCTTTATTGCCAGTTGGTCATTTTTCTCAATATCGGTTTGTGTCATACAATTATGATTTCAGTTTAAAGTAATATGCTAATTCTTTGTTTTTCTGTGCTCTCTCCAAAGAACCATTTTGTTACATTTGATTTCACTTTAATCAATATCACCAGCCGAACTCAAAACATTGGTCTGTTGCACATGCAGAATAGTAACAAATGAATGTTCATAAAATATTGCCAGGTAAGCAGAGATGTTAGAAATATATTGAAGTAAGATTTACTTGTGTATGTTTGAAGTCATCAGTACTTACTTCAACTCAATATTTCCATGTTCAAACATTTTTTCAACGGCTTTTCTTATTTCATCTTTTTCTTGTGCTTTCGTTTTGTCTTTTGGGATCTCTGGCATTTTGTAATAAATAACTTTCTTTAATCTAGACTGTACTATTATCTTGGCGCATTCGTTGCAAGGAAAAAGCGTAACATACATAGAACATCCTCGTATATCTGACTGTATCTTATTGACTACAGCATTTAATTCAGCGTGACATACTACAAGTATATTTCCAGATAATACAGTTGAAAACATTTTCTGTTGTTCATTAATCTCAATTAAACACTTGTAAATCTGATGACCGGACATTCAACAGCAAGTGATTAATGCGGACTATAAAATTGGATAATATATGCATAGAGTGGAAAAGGATAGTAGAAAAAAAATGACTGATAACTCTTCAGCACATCCCCATATTGCAAACACACATATCTATGAAATTTAGTTCCTATACCTATAGAAAACAGAAAAATTAACTAATTATGTTTAAATGAAATTTCTTACAATGCAATACTGAATAAATATACGTGTACTAGTAAAGTATATTAAATCAAACTGCTAGAAGTTTTAATCATTTTCCTTGAAAATTTTATAAATTTATAGGTTGCACATTTTGAAGTAGGTTCGATATGCGCATGTCTGCTTTGAATTACTGGATTTCAATAAACGTTATATTTTACGACGAAACCACTTTTACAGCAGGGATATATAATAAATGTAATAAATTAGTCAAATATTTACTAAATTTTATCACAAATATAGATGTTTTGTGGTATCGGAATTCAATATAAAGTGGTAATTCTCATATATTTTGGTTTTTTTCATAAAACTAACTAACCAAATTATGGATTGCTCTACAAATCTTTCTTGCCTAAATAGATAATTCATTATTCTGTTCTATCGCTGCGTCTCGAATTTTGTCGGATAAATATCAATGCTAAGTAACCATAAAAATGTCTTATCTTCCTGTACTATTTATATCGTTGCGGTATGAATTTTTCTATGCAGGACATGAACAGATAGTAAGTGCAGGATACTTTGAATTGTTACCAGCAGGTTAAATACTCTGGTGTTTTCAGCAGTAACTTCGAGCATTCTTTAATACGATATACTTTGTTTTTTATCTTGTTTTCCACCCTTTTATACTGTTTTTCTTAATGTATTTTTTTAATCTACTGATCGAGATTAAAAACGGGGAAGGGTACAGATATATACAAATAACATGTGTCTTAAACCAGCAGTAACTGTTGTCGTATGTCATATGTGGATATCTGTACATTCGTTATTTTGGAAAATTAGGTTTAAATGACAGATCCTTGAATGTGTCTGTTAATTTTATTGACAACTTTCAATAGACTAAGGGCAATTTAGAACTTGACATGGTGCGTATACATTTTTCTACAGTTGACCACTGAATGTTGCCAACTAGATTGTGTTTATTTTTGTCGTTTGGTTGCTGTTTCATTTACGTATACCCGACATCGCCTCTTATTCAAATTCAAGTTTGTTTAGTCATCCATCACACTCTCCTTCAAACCCTTGATGTTCAATAGGGAAGTTGTTTTATTGTTTGGACGAAAATATATACACTGTTGTGTTTTCCAATAATTAATATTTTAATCGCAAATTATAAAATACGTATGTAATCTTATAATTCGTTTTACTCTTCTCTGTTAATGTTCTACAAATTGACATACCATATAAATGTTTATTGTCCTCAGCAGTTTGACCTTTTCCCCAGGGAAACTCTTCATCCTTGCAATTATTTGGCATACCATTATATCCCATCCCAACAATCCTTTTGTCTTCATTGACAATACATGCTCCAACCTGAAAATGATCTTTTCTCGTTTATTCCTTTTGTTTCCTTTACTTAAAACGTGTTATGAAATTGAACCATAATTTGTACCAAACCAACACGATGAGTCGGATTTTTTAAAAGTGCTAGTACACAAGGTATTTTCACACCCTGTACATTATTCTGACTGTGCACCGACCAAACGTTGATTTTACTCACATGTGTCACGTGGTTAGTGGATACGCAACATTTATTTGGTTACCCCGAGACCACCGACTCAGGAAAGTTTGAATTGAAACTTATAAGGTTATTTAAACCATCTTGAAAAGTGTAATTAGAAAGTTCGGTCTTTAATTCAAGTTTGATCACATGTGTCTTGCTCTATACCATATGTTTCTTTTTGCACAATTTGATTACCATCAGTTACTATATATTCTATTTATTGTTTAACAGAGCTAAATAATGTGCTCAGAATTGTTTTAAAAGACACAAATAAAATTTCAAAGAGATGTTAGACACGTTATTTAACTTAACGTTCAAGCATATCAGAACTCTCATAAACGATTGAGTAGATGCACTATAAAATTGGATCTTTCTTCACACATTGATTTAATAAAATTAACAACTATTTGCTTAAAACAAGTATTGTAACATAATGCTGAGTATTTCAAGAGTCATATTGCGTTTACACTTCTTTTAATTCGTGTAAGTGGTCCCAAAGAAACAATCATAAATACAAATTTATTAAATTGCTTTATAAATACATATTATGATCAGAATATTTTTGTGATTCCTCTCATTGAAAAATATTCTTAAAAGATAACTATGAGCAAATCGTTAGTATAAACATTTAATACAACAGGAATATCTTACACTGTCACAGACCTGAGTTTTAGGATCTTTACTCCTTTGTGCTGATAAAAATGCTAACGCCATGAAATACTCGTCCCATTCTAGATTCCATGGTCGCTTGTAACCCTTTTCGATTGTTTCTGTAAAATTCAGAAATAAACGTTTGTGTAGAAAAAGACAAGTTATGATAGATGTTGTCTCTCTGTGCGTCATTACAAAGGGTTCTGCATTTTCAATATTTCTTTTTTGTAAATAGGGCTTTTGGTGATGATTGATTGTTTTTCGTTTCGTTATATACAGACAAATTTATCAGGAGGAAAATAAGGAAGATATGATTATGGGCATTTTTTAAATAATTGATTATTCGAGGCGATGTCAACATTGCTATTTCGCTATGAGAAGACAAAAATATTTACAGGTTGACCTACTTTGAAGGCCTGATATGAATGATTCCTACAACAGAGTTGTATGAGTGGAACATGTAAAACGTCTATGCTTTTAACATACATGAAGCTTTGTAAGAGGGCGGGCACCCTTCCCCTCCCCTCCTTAATCTGCCTTCTGAATAAGCGTTTCATACATGATCATTTGTAGATAATTTAATGTACATTTACGACATAACAAGTTTCAGTGGGATTATTGACTAACCGCGGAATCTAAATGTAACAAAAGCTTGCGACCGAGTGTCCTTAATCAAAAATGCGAGTTATGTTAAATTACGGTATTAGAAAAGTACAATAAACAAATTACCAAACTTCAAGGAAAATTCAAAACGGAAAGTCCTTTATCAATAGATATCAAAGGTACAAATGTCAATAATTGGGGTACAGCAGTCAACATTGTGTTAAAATCTTAATAACTATAAAAACAAATAACTATTTCAACAACAAAAAAACAAATAAAATGGCATATAGACACTCTATAGACAAAGTACATAAGCAAAAATGGAAGACAAGAATACAAAAATGACAATAGCACAAGAACGGGATGTATAAATACTGACCCATGCCAAAAGGATATTACCTAAAATTGACTAAACAGTAAAGGTTAAAAGTATACAAGGCCAATAAAAAGAATACTATAACACGTAATTAAGATGATAAAAAATGTCAGTACATAGAATCTATACTTAAAGACCGTCATGTATTATTTGTGATGCTGATACGGAATATTTATCAACAAGGTCTTGGTATCTTCCGATGATTTTGTTAGAAAAAGGCCGAGTTGTTTTTTGACATAACCCTGGTTCATCAACTTCCTGCTCACAAACTGGTGACGTTTTATAAAGTCTGAGTAGCAGCTGTAAGCTCTTGAATACCGAATGAGTTGGGAAATGTATATCCCATATGCATGTGAAGTTGGAATATCGCTGCTCAGGTGGGAGAAATTTATAATTTCAAAATAAAAATCGTCTCGTTTGTCATAGATTCTGGAACTGAGATGACCGCTTATGTCAAATTCGATGTGGATAAGTCTAAAAATGAGGCGGAGGAAGCCGTGCTGGTGTTTCTTTAATTTCTAGTTCTGAAGGATATATTAATGGAACCCAATCAGAAAAGTTTGGATTGTTAATGGAAAGAACATCATCCATATATCTGAATGTGAAATTAAATGATCTGGTTTCTTTGATCTTCTTGTTTTGACAAGTGTCTGAAGGTACCCAGACTCAAATGAAAATAAGAAGGTTGGCAAGAAGAGGCACATAGTTCCCTCCCATAGGAATGCCGACAATTTGTTAAAAAAGTCTACCTCCAAATTCAACAAATATGTTGTCAATAAGAAACTCCAGCATACTGATCACTTGTTCCTATGTGTAGCATGTTTTACCTTTTTGTTCACTATTAACAAAGTATGCCGTATGGTATTTCAAAGCAGTAAATTCATAGTACGGAACGCCACAGCTGTCTTACGTGGAACTCTGATATTACTTTATGTTGTTTTATTATTACTTGATGATATTTTGTCTTTACTTAATATGGTTTTGACATTACGTAATGATGTTTTGATATAACTCAATATTGAATAGTCATTACTTAATGATATTTCGATATTACACGATATGGTTTCGTATTGGCTTGATATAGTTTTGTCATTACTCAATATGGTTTTGTCATTACTCGATGTGGTTTCACCATTATTTAATGTGGTTGTGTCATGAGTCAATGTGGTTTTAACATTACTTGATGTGAATGTGACTTAACGTTATGTAGTTGTTTCATTACATGATGTGGTTTTGTTATTTCGTAATGATGATTTGCTTATTCTTTATATGGTTTTAACATTACGCAATAATGTTTCAAAATTTGACGATTTTACACAACATGATGTGTTTGTTCCATTATTTGATGTGGTCCTGTCATTCTTTGATGTGGTTATCCCATTACTTGATGAGGTAAAACCACGTGACCAATTCGGAAAAAAAATATGTTCTATTTTTAAACAGATTTCAATATATCGTTTGTTTAATGTGCTTTGGATGGGTATCGCTATCCATTGAGTTAAAGTTCAAATTAAAGTTCGAGTGGTTGTTCAGAGTTATTTGGTATGAAAAAGGGGAACGGCAGAAAATAATAAGAAAAAAAGTATTAAAAAGTTAACAGTATTTCGGACATAATTAAGATATCCCCAAACCACTTGGTCCTGTTGTTTTTATCCTAAGTTCTCAAACGGAAGCAGTATTTTTGTAATAAATTTGTAAAATATTCCACGGAACCCTGTGTCTCGCCTGATATTGCTGCTGTAAGTGTAAAAGCGTCATGTTGATCGGCTGTACATTTATCTATACATTTATCGGTAAAAAAAAAATTTTTTTTTTTAAATATTTTTCTGTAGATGCTTTTTCTTGAAATTGAGGAATAACTCCTATACAAGTTTTAAAACACTTCATGGAGGTTTACAAATTTATCATGTCAAAACAGTTTAATTCGGTTTTATTTAACTAAAACAAAACTGTATGGTTTTCAACAATGAGCAAAACCCATACCCTATAGTAAGCTATAAAAGGTCCCGAAATGAAAAATGTAAAAAACTAGAAACCTAACGATCTATAGATAGATAGATAGATACTTTATTCTCTAAAAACTAAATACAAGTTTACAGAGAAACATACAATATAAATACAGATACAATAGTCGAGGTAAACAAATACAGTATGATATTCTAAAAGTACAAAATTATGATGGCATACATGTTTAGTAACATGTATATTGAAATGTTAAACTCAATAGAAAAAAAAATGGAGATGGAGACGCCGACGCCACTATCGACGACGAAATATAGGTTTGCTGTGTCTCACTGCCGCTACATCGATGTCGCAGGCTCGACACAAATCAAAGGACTTTATTGTTAACAAATGAAACACTTAAATGAACTCGCACTAAAGTTACAGGGAAACGGGGGTAGGGGCTCGGACTAAGCGACAAAGCATCAATACTATAAAATAAGAATTCTCCGATTTCTTTTTAGCGTAAATGATCATTTGAACCTACGAATATCAATCTTTTATTTGTAATCAATTGAATTCCCTGATCTACCTCGCACTAATTGAAAAATAAACTTTTGGAATATCTGTTTCACATGTGACGACGGACATCATCCAGTGGTCGTAACCATTATACCGTCATCTTTTCCTTGAATGTAAACTACCCAATAAAACCAAATCACTAGGTTTGTACTTTCTCGAATAACACGACGGGTGCCTTTCTGGAGCATCCGAGATCACCCCGATGGATTTATATTACCCAGTCATACCGATCTATTGAATCAGCCAAATGAAACTGTTTTGTATGCTACCGCAACTGAATGATGGGGGGGGGGGGGGGGTATTGTTTTACCCCTGTCCGTCCGTCCGTCTGTCCGTCCCATTATGGGTATATAGTTATTCCGCATAACTCCTCCTACAGTTTGAATCCTAGGAAGTTTCTCTTTACTGTCTGTTTGTACATATATTGAAGGTGTGCATGTGGTCAGGGTTTTTATTTTTATTATCTTTTGCTCTTTTGGGAGATAATCGAACTTTTTTTTGTCAATTTGGGGTATAAGCGGTTAAATGAGTTGAGTGCGGGGGCATCACTTTGTCTAGTTTACATTTTTTTTCTCGTGTTTTGCTGTTACACAACTGTAACAGTCCGATGTAAGGTTAGGATTTAGCACTCACATACATGTTAAACTCCGCCACGTGCACTTTCTTTATGTACCTGCCCCAAGTCAGGAGCATGAAGTTCAATTGTTGTCGTTGTATAAATGTGTGTCTTTTGTTTTTTGTAGATTGTTTATTTATAAATAATTCTTATATGATTTGCTTATTAGGGAATACGATGATATGATTGGTCGAGACGACTTCCGGTAGTTGATCTTGACGTTATTTATTTTTCGATAGACGACGTTGACCGAACTTCTTTTCGTAACCAATGTAAACAAGATGGCGGCGATAAAAACACCGACTTTAACAAAATTTATTTTCACTGCACGTTGATCGCGTTAAATTAAATAATCAACACAAAAACATTCGTTCGAATGATAATAAGAGTTTTTGTAGTTTATTTTTTATCAGATTGCAAATTTCATTGAGTACATATTTTTGCAATAATCAACAAATATATTCATGCGCCAGGCCTATTCAATGACACAAATATACAATTTACGTGTGATAGAGGTTACGAGTGTGGAAAAATATATTCCTTATATCCAATTTTAAAGAATTATAAGGATTACACGCCTTTTAAAGGAATTTATTGGTGTATAAACTGGACCAAGTCACTCACAAAACATTGTTTGTGAGTGAATTGGTCGAGTTTATACACCAATAAATTCCTTTAAAAAGGCGTTTAATCCCATAATAAGACCGTTTGTTTTTTTTCGTTTGAATTTTTTTCACATGGTGCATGGTGGCCTTTTGTAGATGACTATACGCTGTGTTGAAGGCTGTACGGTTGCCTGTATATGATTTCTTACATCCACTGCATTCAAACTCTGGTGGATAGTTGTCTCATTGTCAATCACACCACATCTAACTTTATTTCAACTTCTATGTTGCGTTTTGTTTACTGTAACATTGTTTATCTTTTGTACGCATACCCCGGAGCCCTCTTTTCGGAAGCCCGAGCAAAAGTCCTTGTTCCGCGATAGAAAATTTAATTAC